TCAATGTGTAATAAATCGCTACGGTGTTTCGTTACTTCGAAGTAAACAATAATTAACAGCCTGGAATAGTCGGGCGAGATCATTCTCACCTTAGCCTGGAATAAATGCCGTTGGCCCTGATAAAACCTAAATGACTGGACTCCATCATAATGTATGCCCGCGTGCAAAGAAGAATCGTTGTCTGCAAACTCCCAGGATATTTAACTATCCCCCAATAAATTGAGTAACAGCGAACAGTTGATCATAAGAAAACACCGGGATGGGATAAACTATGGTTGATTCAAAATGGTCAATACCTACACAGTACAATATAAACCTCGTCATCTATTGTTGATTGGTTCAAATTTTCAAGGGATTTACGAACACCGATTGATTGATATTAGAAATTTATATCCAATCAGAAGCTCCAGCATCCTTGTAGTGCTACAGTATAATACTATTATTAATACGAAGTAGTTAAAAACCTGATAACGTTATTGGGTCATTAAACCACGTTAACAGGAAAAGAATCCCTGATTCAAGCCCAACCAGACAAAAGTTGGCGGCGGCGTTACCCACGGCCACTTGACCATACGCAGCCAGCAAAGCGTCGACGGTAGCAAAGGGTAAGGCTTTGAGCATCCCCAACGTCAAATCACCTGGGAGCATTGCAGGAATCATCCCGTGATTGTCGACCAGCGCTTCAATCATGGCATTATCTTGGCACACGTTTGAATTCATGATGGTGCAATCCCATGCGACTCGCAATGAAAATAAATACAGGACGATAATATGGTGGACAAAAAAATACACTCGTACGTGTGGAGAAGAGGCGGAAAAAGATTTTTTAGAGCAAACGATGAAATATTTCCGAGCGAGGCCTTACTTAGCGATTTCGACGAAATATTCGTAGTAAATGATACAGTTCAAAATATCATTATACTGCAAGTTCATTTTAATAGTGTGGTGCTCGAATATACTAACGTTATAAGGGCGGTCCAAATACAGTATCATGATATTTCTTTATAATTCGATTAATATCGAGATAATTTGCGGTTTATCCCGATTGTCCCAATAACATCTCTCTTGAAATCACTAGTGTCGTAATGGCTGGATACCATTTTCTTGGCAAATTTTACTGCGCTATTCGGCCGAAAATATCCTGAAAACCGCAATAAAAATATACTACTCCAACAAGTTTATTTTGCGGGATATCGTAATAAATCGAAAAGAGTATGACTGGTGCATTACGACTTCCTAAAATGAATGAATTCTGAAGTGTAGCTCGGCGGTTCATTCAACCGACCACCGGAGGAAATTTTGAGTAGAACACACAATATCACAGTAAAGTAGAAAGCACTTTTTCACACACAATATCAGAGATAACGTTGGTGAAATAGTATTTTTTCGTATGGGTTTTATCCGTGTCATTCCAAAGGAGTCTAATACAAGTACTGGACGACTTACACGTGTCAAAGGCGAACTTGCACGAATATTCCAGCAAAGGTTGAAGTACGTTGACTGTAGCCTCGCTCAAGTGCCACTTCCTTCTCGAACTCGCCAAAAAGCGATAACACAGCTCAAGTGCCCTTGAACCTGTACAACGTAATCAATGAATATAATGTTTTGAAGGATATTCCTGTTAGTACGTTTTTAGAGATGCACGCCAGAATTCTGATCCGCTGTTAAAAAATCAAAAGACAAAAGATAAAAAAGACTCCTGAAACGAATAAACAATCTGTGGATAATGCGTCACAGATTGAACTCTTGTGTTAGCTTGAATACGATATTGGCTTTGGGTCCATAAACCACATTAGAAGAAGCCTCGCTTCAAGCCAAACCAGACTCCAAGTTGACAGCGACGCGCGGCTAAGTCACCCACGGGCACTTGATCGTATGCAGCCAGCACAGCGTTGACGGTAGCAGAGGGCAAGGCTTTGAGCATCCCCAACGTCAAACCAGCTGGGAGCATGGCAGGAACCGCCCCGTGATTGTCGACCAGCTCTTGAATCAAGTCATTATGTTGGCACACGTTTGAATTGATGATGCGCGCAATCCCGCGCGACTCGCTAAGCAAAGTAAATACAGGACAAAAATATGGTGGATAAAAAGATACACTCGTACGCGTGGAGAAGAGGTTGCAACGCATGGATAATTGGTTGAAGTGCCGCTTGCATTGCCGCTTGCATTGCCGGAGCAAACCATGCAGGAGCTCCTGCACCAGGGTACATACTCGCTGCGTGTTCGCCAAGCACGGCATGACGCCGAACTCTGGCGGCCCCCATTTCGGCATCAGTCACGCAATCGCCATCAACTTCGCGGAGACGGTTGCGGGATACAAAGTCGTCAGTTGCGGCTAGAACGTCGTTTATATCGAGGGGGTTTCCTGGAGCGATAGCTGGTGCGAAGACGGGTGCAATGGCATTCGCGTGTGGATTGGCAAGCGCGTTCAGGGCCGGGACCGCGACAGTGTAGTTCATCGCGGCGCAAATTCTCTTCTGATCGAATTCGACGAAATATGCATATTACATGTTACAGTTCATAGTACATACAAAATGCAAGTGAATGTTGAAAGTACCGTCCAATATAAGGTTAAAGGGTTTTCCAACAGGGAGTTTGATTGGTGGAATTCAAGTTACATGAGCATGATTGGTGGAATTCAAGTTCTTGCCTGTGGATTGGCGGGATTTTGATAATCAGAGAGAAATAATGTACTATTCTGTAAATAGTGTTCATAACTACGGGTATTGTCCTTCTCATGCAAATTTGGACTCTTCAGTCCAAAAGTGAAACCGTTTTTGAATGACCTTGGCAATGTATCTTGTATACAATGAGTTCAATCTGCAACGGTTCTTTTTTAGAAAACGTATTGATTGGCTGTTCACACCAAATCACATTGCACACACGTAGCGTTAAACGCGCAAGGGAATATCATAAACATTACGTCGCTTTGCCATCTAAATACGACTACTTGCATGGTATAGGACTCAAGAACTCTTGCCTTGACTTACTCTGTAGTGAAGTTGCTCTTCGTTGATACGACAAGCAAATCCATCAATATATCATCTCCTCTCGGCCAAGATCCGAGTGAAAATGTACAGTAACGTAAGAAACCAGTAGATGGCCCGAAAATCGACCCCTTAGATTTTTTACGCTTTCTCAGCAAACAAGACGATTTGTACGAACTTTCAACTAACGTTATGCTGTTATATACGATTGATGGCGCTACATCATACAAGCAAGCTTTGAAGGATTCGATGTATGTTTCGTTAAGTTATTGTTGGTCAAAGTGGATTTTGAGAAGATCAGTACCTGGCCCTAATTTACTGTTAGCCTTGAATACACTATTACATCGAAACAGTGGGACTCCTAATCTATTACCACTCTGGTCCATGAAAAGAGTCCCATTTGTTTTGACTTGTGGACAACAACGCCTGTGTGAAGTAGTGACGTGGCCGAACGTGCAGTGGCTCTGTCTGGAAGGTACACGTTTTGAACGTACGAGCGTACTTAAAGGCTTCGTCACACAATGCTCGTGCCACGCCGCGGCCGGCTCGCAGTTCGTGGGTGAAGTACAGGTCCATGTTGCCGCCGTTGATGTTGTACATGAGGCAGCCCAACATCTGAGCCGTGTTGTTTCGTCGAACCTCGCAGACAAATTGACTCTTCTCAACATCATGCCGCACTCCTCGCACCACTCGCTTCATCAGGGCTCGCATCATAGTGGTTTGTGAATTTGATTTCGGATCTTTGTTGCCCTTCCTTCAACAACGCTTTCCTCCATTTATACGTATATTTTGACCAGGGTCCATGAAAGAAACTATCCTTCAATTTGTACTTCGAAGTAAAAGGTAAGGTTGGTTCATACAAATTTATGGATAAATGAAAACTAATTCGCCTTTTTGGTTAGGTTACTGTTATAGCGTACTACTACTACTATAATAGTAGAACGTACAAG